TTGCCTTTTTTGTAGTAAAAAAGCATCACATAGCGTATTTCTTCAGATATTTCACTCATTTTCAAACCAATATAACTTTTGACATGATTGATGAATCACCAAACTTTGTTTACAAAAAATGTAACCTAAAATGTCATCTTTCAGACGCGCGTTTGTTTGACACAATCGGATTAATGTTGCCCGATATATGATCATCAACACCATCTAGTGACAAAAAACCGCGGATACTTTTTAAATGACCTAATATACAATATATGAAAGTTCAATGGATAAGAAGTGTATATGGAGTGTTCTAAAATTCGCAAAATTCTATAACAAGAAAATTTTCAAAAAATTAAATGAAAAGGTTTATAAATTTTTATTTTAAGCAATAGTTTGAGATTTATATGTACATATGTATATATTGGATCATCTAAAAAGTATGATGATATTATATATATATATATATCTATATGCATATAAATTGTATTCTTCGGTAAGCAATTAAAAGTTATAAACAAGCTTGATCTTTAAAATATTCATATAAAAATAATAGAATTAATATAGGTACCTTTATCGAATACATAAAATTCATTCCATATTTATAATTCACTGTTGCTTTACAAAATTTATACGCGTTATGTTTTACTTATTCAGTGATTTTTAGTAGTAATTAATATCTCATTAACTATTTGTAAAAATTGCAAAATGATGCAAAAACTTTCCGATTTTATAGTATGCTTAACTTGTAAGTGTTATATCAAAAAGTTTGGGACATCCTATATAATAAGTTTATATAATAGAATAATAATTTATTGTTAGTTTTATATCATATCATTTAAAAAAAAAAAAGTAAAAACTTTTTAGAGAAAAGGAAATCACAAAGGTTTTATAAAACGTTTTTTAATAAATAAATTTCACATTTTAATGCGTGTACGTAATATGAAAAATTTGCTTTGAAATCAATCATTACTATAAATAAATTTTTTTCACATTTTTATTGCAAAATACAAGAAATATATATATTTATTATGAATTGACTGACAAGGAGAAGCTGTATATTATTTCAACTATTTTATCTTTGAAAACCAATGTTATTTCCGATTATACTACAATTCCTAAGAATTCCTTTTTATAACACTTGTTGTCATATGTAGACAATTAAGTCAATTAATTTACTTGCTCTACATATATTTACGTAATAGAAATATTAGAAATTAATCATTGATATTTCTTAACAGAATTTGATATAACAAAAAAATTTTGAAGTTTACAAAAAATGATGGGCTATCATTGATATTTTCCAAAAGAAAAAGTCTGTATCCTTCTCTTACAGAGAAGGATAAAAGATGTAATTTAAAAGCAATAATTTTAATCCAAATTTAATTAATCGAAAAAAGATACGGATATGTCATCAAATGCGTACATTATCGAAATATTTCACACTTTTACGTGGACTGGACGTGATTAACATGATCTTATAATTAATAGCAGAATCGAAATCTTTTATCTTTTTATCTTTTTTTTTTGTATTATTAACATTAAGAATAGTATATACATAAGATGTACTAATCTGTTCTTAATGTTAATAACACGAAAAAAATATATAGTAAATATTAACATGATTTATATTTATCTGTTTCGTGTTGTTGATATCAAGAATAGATACACATGTACCAAGAAATAAATTTTTATCTCAAACTTCATTTCATGCTGGAATTTCTATTTTATGCTAGTGCTGATTCACGATTTATCTAATTTATACAAAGATCAAAGTGCAAATCAACGATGTAGGAAGCAAGAAGTATATTTACTCATCGTAATAAATTACTCTAATCTGCTATTAAATTACAGGAAACCACTCAGTTATGCGATTGCGTGTAAAAACTGAGAGTATAATTGCCGAATATTTCACATAATTGAAAAATGTATTTAAAATTTATTAAAAAAAATATTATTAAGCATCAAAATCCATTCTTGGTTATATTTGGCGCTTCTTTATTGATTTATTTATAATTGCTCTTTATCACGTTTTTAAATCTTACGCATCCTTTTCGCAAGACACTAAGCGAATGCATTGGCAGATGTTGCAGGATGATCATGCAAAAATTTTTACTTCACTGTCCAAACAATGAAATAATTGCGCTTGCAATCATTATCATTCACATCGTGTATTTCAGATAATGCGCTCATCGACTTCGATTATGTAATTTTTTCATACCTCTATTCACTCTTCACAGTGACAGGCTACTCTTTCTTTAATTTTAAATCTGCCTGCTTCGTTTCGTTCACGATCACGTTCATGATTTACCATCACAAATTTCCTCGCCTTCACCATCTTGCGCAATTGTTAAAAATTTTCAAATTTAAAAACTCCTCGTCGTGTGATTTAGCGGATTACTGTAAAGAGAACGAGCAATGATAGTCATGATTATGATGCAAGTAGATCAAACAATCTATCATGGTTGTGATAAACCAAAAATGATCTCGCATTACTTTGAAGATTTAAACATGTTTTCTACAATCATCTTTATCATAGTCTTTATATTCGCGCATAAATCATTTGAAACGCGCATGCATGCACTTAGGTATACTTAAGTAGATTCTTCCTTTTAAAAAAAACAGATCAATAAACTTCATCAGAATCTGATGTTTGGTAACTCAAGAACTGAATAGTTCGAATTATCAAACATTATTTGGCTAAAATAAAGAAAGATAAAATAAAATAACATATATAAGATAAAATTGTAAAACAAAAACTTTATAATTATCACATTAATAAGACAGTAGAATGTGATTAAGTTAATTTATCTAATCAGTTATTTTTATTTTTGTCGAAACTGCAATAGTTATATAATACAACGCTACGTATAATTGTACCATATTCATTGGAGAAGAATTCCTGTCAATCAGAATAATTTAAACGTACATGGAAGTTCGATGGATCAGATGAACAGTACATGTGCATGTATAAACGGCTGTACTCTTTACACGCAATTAAAAGTTACAAACAATCTCAACGGGTTCCTAAAGTAATCATATAAAAATAGTAGAACATCTCTATCGAGCACATAATTCATTTCATGTTTTATAATTCATCCTGATTTGTTCTACAAAGTTGTACGCACTACATCAGATCTACTGTGCAATTCAAATTCAATTATATACAGATATCGTGAGACTCGTCCCATCTAAAACTTCTGAAAGTTGAAAATGAATAGATAGTTTTTTATACGTGAACGTAAAATTTCTTCGATAAGAAAGAAGAAATTTTTAAGAATTCGATTTCCTATGATTTCCCGCCGATTTCTTTCATTTTGCAGTGACATTGTTGCGGGATAACAAAATCGCGATTCCATAATCCATGTAAAAACATTGATTAACATTCATGCTGCAACAATGACAATCTAAAATTTGTACCTAATCTACATGTTTGCTTTTCACACACATTGCGATTTTCTAAGGCAAAAATACAGTAATGCAATTAATGTTAAATTCGAAGGAAGATTTTTCCACTTTCCGAATTATATCTTCTAATTTCGATTTACATACATTTTATGTCACGCAGTTCATTGTTATTTTTCGTTCACATCGGGCTACAATCTAGCATGTTCAATGATCAAAGAATATGAAAAAATTATTATTAAATTTTACAAATCGTTTCACTGTAATGCCCAGTATTATACGGTATTAATTTACCGAAGGCGCTTCTCATACATACATTTTATTGCAGTCTGAAAAAATGATTGTTATTCTTACAAAAATTCTGATATTACAAAAAAATGCTCGGTATAATTCGATATGTTACATTCGTTCAATAGAGTCGCTACCCTATTACTTCCAATTCTAGATACACAAATCAAATACGTATACATGTTTCTTTCTTTCTTTGCATCTGTGTCAAAAATCTATGTTCAAAATCTATGT